AAGTTTCTAAAAAGAAATGTTGGTATATTCATTCGAAAGGTTTTGACTTGTTAGATCCAAAAAATGATAATATTAGGGATCCCAGCCCTGCCATGTAAATAATGTGAGTCTATGTCCAGCACATTGCTAAGTTAAGCACAATACTGCGTCCACACTTGCTCAACATAACTTGTTCAACTTTACATTCTTCCGATACTGCGTTTCTATCATGCAGTGCCCGCAGCAGCCCCTGCGTTAAAGTATAACTTGACTTCGAAAATTCAGAAATTATTTCTAGAAAAAAAAGCATAGAAAGTCGGAACATGATTTACTTTTAAAAGGTATGACTTCAATTCATTCTTCAGCCTTAAGTCGAATTGTAAAAAAACTCTAAGAACATGCAGAGCACATACTTTTACTTATACCAAGATTCGAAATGCAGCATGTTATTGTACACGACGAAATTAAAGACCAATTGAATGAAGGACATAAAGAAATGCTGGATCAGTACAGCATTAGATACTGACATTTTTTACAATCCTTTTATGTGTGTAGACAAACATTGATAGCAAAATTTTAACATCCTATCATAGTTTTTCTTTTAGGTGCTACATCAAAAGTTAAATGTAGGATTAAAAAGAAATTGGAACCCGACCCAACCGACTACAAAAAAAGTTTATCGCCAGACGGCTGATTTATAAATAAATGTAATGGGTGATTGGAAGGCACTTTTTTGCATAAAACTAGCGATGATAGGTCCACAGAATTGTTTGTGCCGAATGTTACAATTTCATGCAATTGAAAAAAAAATCTGCCAGGAACCCCCCCACCCCATCTTTGTATCCGAAATTGAAATTATGATGTAAATCCTTAATAGTAAAATGTCTTGATATATTTTCTCAATGAAAATCTTGGACATAACATTGTAGTTGCAGTTCTTCTCTTATTCTTGTGTTCTATTTTACTTCAAAATTTCACTGCAAAATCTCACTCCAAAAATTTCACTCCAAAATCTTACTCCAAAAATTTCACTCCAAAAGTTTACTCCAATACTCCACTCCAACACTCCTCTCCATAAAATACATTATGCCTGGTAAACTTGATATAGCGTTAATTGGTGAAATCACGACGTGTATTAGATACAATACAAAGGTAACAAAGAAACAGGCCGGTAACAACCGTTGCCGGATAGTTTTTCTGCACGAGTAGTCAGGTCAAGGTCCGAGGCGATAGCCGAGGACCTTGACCTGACTACAAGTGCAGACAAACTATACGGCAGGTTGTTTCCAGCCTGTTTTTTTTGTTAACTTTGTTTTGTATCTGACTTGTACGACGTTTCAAGAAGGAAGAAGTACATTTTGCATTTAGAAGAGGTAGCAAAACTAAAGATATTAGAAACTTAAATGGTCATATACCAGTTAATGTAAGTTACAGTTTAAACTCAATTTTTTTTCTCACTTCCCTTCAGCCGAGAGTTTTTTTTCTCAAAAAATTCAAGAATCTAATAACTTTATAAAAAGAACCATTTCAAGTTAAAGGTGAATTTTATACACATTTGAGATTTTTTGAAATGCAACTTCGCATGTAAGTAATGTATAAAAAAAGATTTCAGAGGTAAGCAAGCTACCATTTGATTTTTATTGGGGGGAAAAGGGGGAGTTAAAATAACTTTAAAATCAACAGGCTTCGTCCTTTTTTTGTTGAAAGAATGCAGGCTGTGCCATTCCAGCCCCCCCCCCCCCCCCATTCCCCCTAAAAAATTCGTAAAAATCGTACGTTTGCCGCCAAATATATGAATTCAATACATATATGAATTCAATAAAAATATAAGTGTATCAAAGGAATGAATTTCCTATCTCATTAGTGAATGAAATGTTATGAAAAAATGGATTTTGTCTTGTTATTAGATATATATAGGCATATATTTTGGATTAAAAAAAATGTTCATGCTTATAGGTTTTTATATGTCTCTGATAGTGTTGATCAGGATTAAACACGTGTCATTATATGATCCAATCAGAGCTTACCGTCCAAAATTGATGACATAAGTTGAATGATTTTCTTCAAGATTTGCTGCCTATTTGAACATGTATTACACGGACACTTTTTATTTATAGGATCAATCGTGCATTGGTGAGTTGATAGGGATTTTATCTTTTGATTAGATTTGATTTTTTTATATATATTTCCTGTCTTTTTTATTGAAATATAAACGTTGGTACCAGCATTTCTTTCAGCATTGTCCAGAATACTATTCATGTCCATATATTGAAAAAAAAAACATTTACGGTCCGACCATTTAGCTTCAAAAGGGGATGTGTTCTTTTCTGAGTAAAAAAATTATTTAGTTTTTCAACTATATAATATATTATATATTTTTTCTCATAAAATTGGGGATCAAAATGTTTTTTTAGGAAAAAACCATAACCCACCTTTTGAAGTTAAATGGTCAATGATCCCTTAGTGTTCTAATATGAATAGTTACTGGAATTGTTTGAAAAAAAATATAGTTATTGATGCTAACGTAAATATTTTAATTAAAAAGACAGGAAATATGTCGGTGAAACAAAAAGTTCAAATCTAATTGAAATTTAAAGTGCCCATGAACTCACTGACCATGCACGAGTGATTCTATTCATAAAAAGTGTCCGTGTAACAACTAAAAAGTGTCCGTGTATCATCTAAAAAGTGTCCGTGTAACACCCGTTAATGTACTGTTTTTCTATAGCTCTGCTGGGGGCAAAGTCGTACAAGTGCATTTTATTCACCTTAAAACAAAATAGCTGTTTGGGCTATTTATAGATAAGTGTGTAATATAATTATCCTGTATAACGATACGCATCTGTGATTAACTGTAACTTTGTTGATGATATGTAACTTAGAATCCCTTAACAGATTTAACCCATCGTGACGTGCCCCGTATGACTAATTAGACCGGGTCTCAAGTGACTCGGTAATTATGTGTAAAACAAAAGGGCCTGGAGTGGTGCAATTTTTAGTCAACACCATTGTCATATATTAGTTATATATAAAGTTGAATTCTTTGATTCGTCGTTTTTACGTCATGCCGGCTAACAAATTGGACCTCGTTATTTTAGTAGTATAGATATATAAATAGTTCTCATTTTTTCTGCAAGGATATATAAGTTTCATAGACTTAAACAAGTTTAATTTAATCTAGCTTAAAAGGCATAAGAACACGTGTTCACAGGTAAACACGTTATAAGTCCATGTAAATCAAAAGTTTACGAGATATGGTAGCTTTTTGTTTACACAATAGCATTTTAAATTTTGAAAAGGTAGATTATAATTTATTTACATTGAATAGTATATAGTTAAATCAGCTGGAACGTCGTCCTTAGCCATAATACACGAGTACATATGATCGTATATAAACAAGGTAAGTGGTAAGTGTGTGAGAGAGAGAGAGAGAGAGAGAGAGAGAGAGAATGAGTAATGCAAGTATGGTATACACGTGACTTTGTTTTTAAGTCCAAATATAATCAGCCATTCATTCGTCACCATATATATCATATAGGATAACACTTTGATCTTGATACTGGACAAATTCTTACATAAATATAAGGAGATGCGGTATGATTGCCAATGAGACCAACGGACAAGAATGTGAAAACTATAAGGTCACCATACGGCCTTCACAATGAGCAAAACCGATACTGTATATTAATTTATCAAGGCCCGAGATTAATATAATATGAAACAAAGGCATAAGAGTAAACCAACGAAATTTCATAATTCTTAACTAATAAACGAAAACAAGCATGGCAGACAGCAACCAACAACAACCACTGAATCAGGGTGCGTTATAATCTTTTCCAGATGCACAGTGTTTTCCGTTCTTTTTGGGTATAAACACGAAACTATTTGCCTTTAGATGGAGAGTTTTGGTTAAAGACACGCTAAAAGAATGCGGCGGATTTAAACATGTTCAACCCTAAGAAATTAAGGTTATCCTTCGGATATTTAATTTGGATTGAAGTACAACTGGAACTGCGCGAAATAAAACTTTCGTTTCGAAATAGTTCGTCAAATTATATTCGATTATCCTACATATTGAAATCGTACAATTATATTAGTTTTCTATCTATAGAAACATTTTATCCTGCAATCGACCTTTCTACTATACTATTACAGGTGTACAGATAACACGAAGCGATATACGTATATAGTCTCCTGGTATCCTGCTTCTGTTTCGAGCGAACGGTTACGTCACAGTTCAATTTAGGGTCCTCATTGCCGTCCGCGTTTAAGTCATGTCGATTTCTTTCAAAAACAAATTCAAGGATTGGGATGGAAAAAAATATACAAAATTAATTGCAGAATAAAGACAATAACTGTTTAGTGTCTTTAAATATCAGCTGTATTTGTACTCGGCTCGAAACAGGAGTAATAGCTCACTAAAGCTCGCATCACACCCGTTTCTTAGCCTCCAACAAATACAGCTGATATTTAAAGACACTAGACAGTTATTGTCTATACATTATACCCTTAAATATAAATAAAAACATAGAGATTGTAGTGCGCACGATCCTAATCATATACACTATTGACTTAAGGTTTGGGCAATCAAATCAATAAACATTTAAGCGCACGATCAACAAAGAGATAAAAGAACATCCAAAATTGTCGAAGATCAAATTTGAGAGAGAGAGAGAGAGAGAGAGAGAGAGAGAGAGACAGAATGAGAGAGACGGGGTCAAAATAAAGTTATTCCTTCATTTCGATAGAAAGTTTACAATTAAAAATGTTTCATTAAATATTTTCAAATGAAAAAGATCTTAAGTCCTTTTTCTTTAATAAAAATCATCCATTGCCTGAAGGAACTTTAGTAAAATTGAAAATCTTTTAACTGTAAATTTACATTACACTAATTTTGGGTTGGTGTCAATCCCCCTAAAATGCAGTAATATCGTTCGTCCGGTAAATCCGTTTATTTCGTACACATTTCAATATACTTATGTAGCTAGATTTAAAATTTCACCATAGATTTTTTTCCAGAAATGAATACAAAATCCGATAATTGTGGGATTGGCAGATGTCAACCAAAAAGTCTCCAGTTTTGTGCGACCATTGTTTGTTTTACGGGTATCTACAGTTTATCCAGTTTGACAACATCAACCCTGTCAATTTATATAAGTTCGCAGATAACAACACTCGAAAAACAGTTTGGCTTCAATAGTTCACAGAGTGGATTTTTGTTAAGTTGTAATGACATCGGTTTCTTATTGTTGACACTTTTTGTTAGCTATAGAGCAACAACTGCTCATATCCCACGCACACTAGGTATATCAACCGTACTTTATGGATTTGCCGGCATTTTGTGTTCCTGTGCATATTTTCTTATGCCGAGCCAAGATAGTGGAACAAAAACAACAAATGAAACAAATTTTGAGCCAACAGATTCTTTGCAGTTGTGCAATCTTAAGAATTTATCGTCATACGATACAACCCAATGTGAAAGCGAGGCACCTAAAGCTGTTGGTACAGCAACAGCGTTTACTCCTGTTGCAATGGCTATTATCGCGATTGGTATGGTATTGCAAGGTGTTGGGAAGTCTCCAAGGACGCCATATGTTTCTTATTACGTTGATGAAAATGTCGAGAAAAGGAAAACATCTATGTATCTTGGTAAGTTTACATTCAAGGTCAACATGTGTTTATATATTCTTACTAATGATTGTCCTGAACATGCATGAAATATTTCGGACGTTCAGCAATCAACAATCAATCAATTTGCCTCTTGATGGTTTTGATGAAAGTAACACAGGACTTCAATTTTTTTTCATGAAATATTCAGTGATCTCACTTCCAGTTGATATGTATCCCTTGAATCAATATAGACCCGAATATGAATGAAAAATTGGCCGCTTGACATTCAGGGAACACCTATTATGTATACTACTCACTAGACAACTTGTTTAAGGATATACTTAGGTAAAATTAAAACAAGAATGTGTCCATAGTACACGGATGCCCCACTCGCACTATCATTTTCTATATTCAGTGGACCGTGAAATTGAGGTCAAAACTATAATTTGGCATTAAAATAAGAAAGATCATATCATGGGGAACATGTGTACTAAGTTTCAAAATGATTGGACTTCAACTTCATCAAAAACTACCTTGACCAAAAACTTTAACCTGAAGCGGGACAGACGGACGAACGGACGGACGGCCGGACAATAGGACGCACAGACCGAAAAACATAATGCCCCTCTACCATCGTAGGTGGGCATAAAAATTTAGAATTTAAAATTGATACTATAAGTCAGAAATGCATTAGTAAAGGAACAAAATGAGCTAAAATATTGATAGGTTATGGAACTCCTTTTTGCGATATTTGATTTATAAAAAATGGCGGGAAAAGGCTGACTCGGACTTTTACCTTATATTTAGCATTAGCATTATTTGGGTCTCAAATCGTAAGCTAAAAAAAATCTAGAATCTGCTTCAATTTCGGTTATGACCTTTTTATGAGCTTTTGAAATCTTCTATGGAAAGAAAAGTTGGTGATATGGGGCAAAATATTTCACCCTGCATTGTAAGACAAAACACAAGAAGTCCGAACATCTGACAAAAGTTCATAAACTTGACCTGAGTACATCCTTAACAGAGCAGCAAATGATTATGACCGATATTGCCAAAACTCGTATAATCAGTAGAAAAACATTGCGAAAAAATTATTTATTTTTAAAAATCGATGGAGGCCGAACTGGCTTTGTTTTGAAACTAGGGGTGGAATCGTTATGACTTTGAACATGCTAGTCTTTCTTTACATCGTATATTTCATTTTATTTTAAATACAATTTGTTTTATTAATATTATATTATTTGACCTTTGACATTGTTGTATTCAGTGTATGTTCATGAAATTATGTACCTGTTTTTGTTTAATTTTAGGTATAATCATTACCGTTGGTATATTTGGACCAGCACTGGCATTTGGATTAGGAGCAGTTTTTAGTAACATATACGTTACGTTAGAAGGTATGATCTGTTGGTATCACTCGGCATACGATACAGTTACAGCGGAGGTAATGACGTTAAAAATGTTATTTTTTTGCGACGTCAAAATGTGACATATCGGGAAAAGATGCATTTTTCGACAGTTGTAATCATTAGCTAGAAGACGAGTACATTGACCCCTCTTTGTGTAAAGAAGATTATCCAAATGTTTTAAAAATAATCCGCTTGTATTTATGTTTAAAAAAATAGTTAGTCATGTCTATCCAAAAGGATAGAAATGTCCAAAAAACAGCAATTTTGAAATGTTTAAAATTCCGACCACATTTATCTCTTAAAGTAGCACATGAAGGTATAATTTTTATTTCATATTTGAATTGACTAGGTGAAAAATAGCTTGTATGCAAATGTTCGTAAAAATATCACCGTGGGTTCAAAACTGTATCGTATGCCGTTAAATGAAAATTGAAAATAAGCACAGGAAACACAAGAAAACAAATGCAATAACAGGGACAGAGTTTAGAGTAATCAAAACTAGTTTAAGTCTACCACTTAAATTTGGTTTCATATGACGCTTTTTTATGCATAAATATGTTTTAGTACCGGCTGTTTACAGGCTATATTTATGCCTAAACTTAGATATTTGTGAAAATGAAAATTTGACAATGGCAAAGGATACGGATCTTGCAATAATGTATAGTTTTTGGCAGTGAAATAGATAAACTTTGAGTAATTTAAGATTATAATGAAAAAAACATTGTATGTGACAAATATTTGATTATAAAAATGAAAATGTGGTATGATTTCCAATGAGACAACTCTCCACAAGAGACCAAATGACACAGAAATTAACAACTATAGGTCACCGTACGGCCTTCAACAATGAGCAAAGCCCATACCTCACAGTCAGCTATAAAAGGCCCGAAGTGACAATTTAAACAATTCATACGAGAAAACTAACGGCCTAATTTATGTACAGAAAATGAACGAAAAACAAATATGTAACACATAAACAAACGACAACCACTGAATTACAGGCTCTTGACTTGGGACAGGCACATACATACAGAATGTGGCGGGGTTAAACATGTTAGCGGGATCCCAACCCTTCCCCTAACCTGGGACAGTCTTCTTATAAAGGTCAATATAAGAAAAAGCTAAAAAATAAGGATAATCAGACAAACATCAGTCCAAATGACGTGAATGTTCTTCTTTATATCTTAATGCTCTTTTCCTCTTTTATTTGGTATTGAATGCATATTTATGAAAATGTCTGTTGAATTCAAATAACACGTGTAAAGACAAGGAGCCATTTAGACTTTTACATATGAAATTGGTACCAAAAATAGCTAGGGGACAATCGAAAGTAATAAATCACATATAAAACAGACAACACCATTACCATTGATTACCAAGAATAAAAAACGACGAAACAGCAAACAATAAAAACAAGACGTTTCATAGAAAACTAAAGATTCAACAACATGAACTCTGTAAAAAGCCGGAGGGGAACTCGGGTGCCATAGAAATTAAGAATGAGTACCAGTCTATCCTTGAAAATGGTTTCTCGTTTTCTTGACTTTTATTTTCTAATTTATGGTGCTGTTGAACAGTATATCTCGCATCTCATTTTTTATTTTTTTATTCGGTATAAATGTAAATAAACTCATCAGATATACCAGTCTTAAAAGTTTGTAGGGCAGACGCGCATTTCGTCTACAACAGACTCATTAGTGACGCTCGAATCAAATAGTTCAAAAGGCCAAATAAAAAACGAAGTTGAACAACATTGAGGACCCAACAATTCAGAAAAGTTTTACCAAAAACAGCTAATTTAAGTAATCTATTCTAAATTATATGATAAGAATTTGCTGTTTATAAAAGTTGCATTATATTTATTCGTATAACCTACAGACAGCTCCACTTACTTAAAGAATTTCCGAGTGCACAATGTTTTGAAGTTAAGGGAAAATACCCGTTGATTTAAACGCCTGACACTTTTTTTATTGAAAACTTATACACTTAAACCCTTTTCTGGAAAATTAATGTTAGTAAAAGCGTCCAGATATGTTTATCATCTTTTGATCGTCTACTTTCATATGGGATTTTTTGTTTATATATAATATTGTCAGGTAAACACATTAATGATTGATTGATTTTTGATTGCTTAACATCATAAACGTCATAAACCCATTTATAAATAATTGAATATCTTACTGCCAAAGTTTTTTTCTCTCCAAAATTTATCTGGTAAAGGCATAAGTAGATTTAAAATGTTTGCACCTGTCCTAAGTCAGGAATCTGATTACAGTAGTTGTCGTCTGTTTATGTAGTTCATACGTGTTTCTCGTTTCTCGTTTTTATATAGATTAGACCGTTGGTTTTTCTGTTTGAATGGTTTTACACTAGTAATTTTTTGGGGCCCTTTATAGCTTGCTGTTCGGTGTGAGCCAATGCTCCGTGTTGAAGGCCGTACCTTGACCTATAATGGTTTACTTATATAAATTGTAACTTGGATGGAGAGTTGTCTCATTGGCACTCATACCACATCTTCCTATATCTATTAAATAAAAATAATGATAAATCACTTGCGGTGGACGAGATTTCAGAATCAGTAGTTAACCATTTAATTCTCCTCTACATTGAGATTTAAGTTTTTAAATTACCTAGCAGTAAAAGTAATGTAATGTAATGTCCTGTTCAATTCAAGTAATGTTCAAGGTCGAGATACTGCATCTTCTTCAATTTTAGTAAGTATTCTATTTTTAATACTACGAATTATGTCACGTGACCATAAGGTGTATACACGAATCCCTATATAATTATGTTGCACCGCCGAAGTCAATTTCCAACAGATTTAAAGCATACTATCATCTGCATGTTTTGTTCATACATAGAGAATAAATCGCATAATATTTATTTCAGATGTTGCTATTACAACTAGGGACCCACGCTGGATAGGGGCATGGTGGTTAGGCTTCCTAATATTTGGAATTATTAGCATAGTGATATCCTTGCCGTTGTTTTGTTTTCCAAGGAACTACCAATCTAACAAAAAAATAATAAAAACTGAGCCAAAGAAAAATATTAAATTTCTCAGTCATATAAAAGGTTAGTATTATCTAGCTTAGAGACATCTTTTATATACTTGTAATCATAACATAACATTCTTGAATGCACATATTTTGTAGTGAACGTATTAAAATATGCCTAAATCTGGCATTATTAACAAGCTGCCAGGGTTTTCGATATCACAAACTAGTCAAAACATTTACTAAATTTTATCATCGGTACAAGGACATCAGTCGTAAATATAAATCAACATGCAGACATCTTATACGTTCAGGTATTTCACATCCAATATTTTATGGTAATATTCTTTACAAAGCGCAAAAATGTCGGCATTCACCTCAAAAGCTAACCAAGCCTTTAAACAGACTAATTCGGAAAGGATGTAGTTACGATACTGTTGTCAAGTCATTTAGGATTGCACATTTTGGTATTAGTATTGATTCACTCATAGGGTCTTTGCATCGGAAATAAACACATTTATTCTAAAACCAGTTGTTGGCATGATACGGGTTATGTTCTTCTCATATATTTTATGATGGTATGATACTAAAGCCCTAACGGGAGGGATTGTACTTGATTTTCATATGATGAAGACATAATCTTTCAATCTGTTTAATTGAGGTTTGGAGCTGGCATGTCAGTAACTGCTAGTAGTCCTTTGTTTATTTATGTATCATTGTCATTTTGCTTAGTTTCTTTTGTTACCTATTTTGACATCGGACTCAGACTTCTTTTAAACTGAGTTTTACTGTGCATATTGTATGTGTTTCTTTTTCTACATTGGCTAGAGGTATAGAGGAGGGTTGAGATCTCACAAAACATGTTTAACCCCGCCGCATTTTGCGCCTGTCCCAAGTCAGGAGCCTCTGGCCTTTGTTAGTCTTGTATGTTTTTTAATATTAGTTCATTTATATGTTTTGGAGTTTAGTGTGACGTTCATTTTCACTGAACTAGTACACACTTTTATTTAGGGGCCAGCTGAGGACCACCTCCGGGTGCGGGATTTTCTCGCTGCAATGAAGACCCTTTGGTGGCCTTCGGCTGTTGTCTGCTCTTTGGTCGGGTTGTTGTCTCTTTGACATATTCTCCATTTCCATTCTCAGTTTTATGCATTACTTATAGCTAATATATGTTTGGGAAATTGAACAGTTGATTAACAAGTAAAAGTATCAAAGTATCTGTAATGTAAGATATATCTTCGGTGTTTATATTCTTAAAAGATGTTTTGTCTGCTATTGCATTTAAAACGTTTCCCAAATTTTGTTCTTGGCGATTTAGAACTTGAAATAATTTGCTGTGACACCTGTTTATTGTTGAAGACTGTCTTTTGACTTATATATATCGTTTGTTTATCAACTGTGTCGTTGGGTTGCTATCTCATTGAATTCCTTTTTCGTAGATAAATGCCTTTACAGCTGACGTATTCAATGCAAGTCATTCATATAACTATTGTAATTGACGTTATAAGTTGTTATTAGATAAATTTTATAAAATTGTTTCTGTATCAATTGCAGGATTTGTAAGCACTGTACTACGTCTATTTAGGAACGGGTGCTTCACCTTTTCGATCCTTGGCAGTTGTTTACAAATGTTCTTTGTTTCGGGTATGATTTCTTTCATGCCAAAATTTTTAGAAACACAGTTTACTATACCCACTTGGCATGCCAATTTATTAATGGGTAAGTTTATCTGAATAAATGGATTGAATTACCATATTTTCATGTAAGTTAAAACAAGTTTTTTTATTCTAAAACTTAAGATTTTATCTGAAAATAGCATATTTCTAATAACGTTGGAAACCTTAAAATAAAAGACCAACAAAAATATTGCATGGAATCGAATAGTGAAGAAAAATATACCCAAAACATTGCAGGTAATTGTAAGTCTAATTTATTGGCGGAAAGGGGGGGGGGGCACTTTTGTAACATATAATAATAAAAACTATAAACTACATATATTAATTTTTCAATAGAACAGCAACATATCATTACTTTAGATACGCTTGTGACAAATGTACACACACGTGTAATGCATTTTTAATGAGTGACTTGATATTTGTAAAATGAGTTGTCTTCCTTTTACTAGAAAAGCATCTATCAACATCAAAATAAGGAGATGCGGTATGATTGCCAATAACACAACTATCAATCAGAGTCCAAATGACGTGGACGAAAGCACAGATCTATAGGTCACCGTAATACCGTCAACAGTGAGCAGAACCAATACCGTTCTTTCATTTATAAAAGGTCACGGCATGACAAAATGTGAAACAATTCAGACGGAAAAAACAACGACATGATTGATGAAAAAAACAAAGAACGAAAAACAAATATGACAGGCACAATAAGAATGGCGGGGTTAAACATGTTTGTGAACATGTATAACAACACACATTAAGGATGTTCGCTCCTCTTGTTTTTGAATGTTTGCCAGATATTCGGAATCGTCTGGTTTTATCCATGTAGTGCCATTAAAAATTTTCCCCGATAACCCCTCCTTTTCTTTTCATAATTTTATTATATATAGTTTAAAAAGCCATATTTGAAAAAATCCTATAAAATCCTTGTTATTTTTTCATAATTTTTGAAAGAAAAAGAGCGTCAAAGTACAATGTATGAAAAGTCTAGAGAGAATTATTTCCCGCCAAATTTTCAATGGCTTATATCTCGAAAACAATCACACGGACCCTTCATTTTTTTCTGCTTTTTAAGTTCCTTGATTATATACTATCAATTTATAACAGCCTTTTAAAAAGCTTGTTATTTTGAAACAGAGTAGCGAACATCCTTAAGAACAATCAATTGATTTATTAAAAAAACAAAATCAATGACAGTACTGATACAAAAATATTCAAAGATCTGACTATGGTGTTAAGTTGACAACCTTTAAGAACAAATTTATTGAAAGGACCAATGAGTTAACACGGATCTTGCTAAATCAACATGCTCTATAAACAACATCACCGTAAACATTAGGATGTAATGTCACTATTTTGATAAATTATGCAGATACAGCCAAACTTCCTACCTGAATCTTTGTATCTATAAAAAAATTAAGTAAAGGTTTAAGCTCAATTATTTACTAGATTTACATAAATAACGTTCATTGATGCTAAAACGATGGCATTTATTAGTAAACAGACAGAGCAATCGTTTGCAAATCATCCACACCTTTGAAGAAGCTAGGGTTCATTGTTCAAAGCAATATGAACGAAAAATTGTCTCTTTTGTGGTAAAGTTTTGAAGTAAAGAGTTTCCCGTATGAAACTGAAATGTCCCAATGTAGAAAAGGGCAATTATTGCTGTTCATATTATATTTATCCAATGGAAGTTCACTTGGTTAAAATTCCGCCATATAAATGGAGAACTCTTGATTATTTAAAGAAAAATGTCATCCAGGTTACGGAATAAATGCAAACAAATTACCAATTAGATAGTATTTTGACGAATCTTTACTGACTAAGGCCATTAAAAATACAGGAACAAGACCTCTGTTTAAAAATGGAAATATTGGTGCCCATACAAAAGATCATTTTAGTTAAATAAGAAAACTTCTGTTTCATTAGGTCGTTTGGAAGTGTAGTGTACAGAGTCACAATAATTGTTAACCGAATTGAGCGGACCTTCAAAAGCACATAATTATAATTTATCCAAGACTCCAGAAATAATTAAGTCCATTGTTTACGTATCTTTCATAAAAAAAAGGAAATAACAAGTTCGTTAGTTGAAGTAAAGGTAATAGTCTAAAGCTTAAACAAGGTTAGTTGTAGAACACTTTCTAGAAGCCGAGATGAAACAATATTAGACATAACTTATTTTACGTGTGTTATATAGAATGTTCAGAATTTAGTAATGAAAATTACTGGATTATGATATATTCTCCTTTCATAAGTAGACGGTAGAATTTATTGTTTTCAAATGAGCAAATCATATTACATCCACCAACTCTTATTGAAAAATCAAAAGTTAATTTACATTTATTATCAAACGATAAATTTACACAACATAAATAAAAAAATAAGAGGGCAATCCAGTTTACATGTACCAGTGACTGTGACTATATTATGATTCACTGTAAAAGTGAATGTAAGAGCACTGAAAACCACTAAAAGGAGAATACAAAAGCTTTAGAATTCAAATACGAAAAGACATTTTCTTTAATGTAGCTAGCCTTCGGATGTCGACGAAAGATTTTTCTTAAACTACTGTACAAACGACTTCTGGTTCAACGTACATTAAATTTTTATATGAAAACTAGGGGTCACGGACCTTGTTTTTTCCCCCGTTTAAATGCACTGAAATTAACGAAATCACAGTTATTGTATATGGGTTATATAGGGGAAACTTAAATTTTTCCTTATTCAGGAAACATTAAACGATAGAATTGGTTAAAATTCAATAAGAAAATTACTTGTCATAAGTTCTTCCGAAATATCAAATAGAAATAAGGGATCACGAGCCTTTTCTTCTTGAGAAAATAAAAAAAACCAACACAAATTTTCCTGTCAAATTCAATAAAATTATCTGCTCTTGATTTTAAAGAATTTTTTTCTGAAAATTATATATACTCTTGACGACACTTAATTTTTTATAGTTTAATCTAAAATATCAAGCTTTATATGTTTCTGTTGTATAACTAATGATACTTGGTATAAATAATCTTAAACTAAAAAAGCCTTTTTGCAACATGCTCAGAAGGGATCCTCAGAAAAAGACATCCGATCTACCTTAAGGACAGATAACAAGTCAACAAAATACTACTAGTTGTGCACAATGTGATTGAAGAAATATGAATCATTTAAAGGACACGGTTGAATCACAGCATTTGCTTTTGGGTTATCAATGCTTTTCAACTTCTTACTTTGTTTGGCCTATTTAACTATTTTATTCGAGCGTCACTGCTGGGTCTTTTGTAATTATTAAAAAATGTGTAAAATTGATTTTTAGGTGGTTTAAACATCTGCTCTGCTTCACTTGGGACATTTATTGGAGGATACATTGTATACAAATTTCGAATGACCCCTTATGCATGCATGAAACTAGCACTGATTTTGACGGCCATTACAGGGTTCACTCCACTACTAGGATTTTTCGTTGGATGCGATAACCCAGAAATTATCGGATATAACACAAAAAGGTAAACTTTTTTTGTTTTTTTTTTGTTTTTTTTTATTGTTTCATTGTGGTATATATTTACTTTTATTTACACTTTCACTTTTTGATGTACCGTTTTTTCTTAGAGTAAATTGAATATAACTCGAAGTCCAAAATCCACGGGGAAATGTGCAGTTCCGCTTTTCGTCGCAAAAAACATTAATATAAAAAAGTAAGAAGATACCAAAGAGGCAATTAAAAACAACAAGTCACTACCTCTAGACAACACTATATAAATAACACATAGCTGAGAAGGTGATAGAGCAGATTGTTTCCCCGAGAAAACATTGTCAACTGAGGCGAAGCCAAGGTTGTCAATTTTTTTTCGAGGGGTAATAATCTGCTCTATCATCCTCTCTGCTATGTATTATTTAATTCATCGTACTGACTGTTCTGTTATTACTGTCTATGAAATTTCAAATTCAAAGTAATAAATTATGACGTTTGTACACAACAACTATCCGTATCTAATAAAGCGCACACTTGATCAAGCGTCTTCGTGAAGGGTGATAGAATATTTACCATGGGAAAGAGTAAATTATCCCCCTCGTTTTAGCGAATCAAAATCTGGCATTTTAACATAAAGTATAATAAAAGAAATCATTACGATTTTGATCCGATACAGCAGAATCTGTCGCGACATAGTCACAATTGTAATCCGAAAAGACAAAATCGAATCAAGTTTCTCGAATGTTACGGTACGCACCTTTCTGTCGAGAGTGCTTTTCCGACCTGTCTTTACCATTCCCGATCAGTAGGACTCTGCTATAAACGGATAAGACTGTGGTCAGACAATGATAGGACATTCCAGATCATTGTGGATATAAATCCGACCTTTTTCATTTTTCGTGTCGTATCGGTGTCTCGTCTCAAACGGGAGCAATTATCGGCATTATGTAAATGCGGATTAAAGACATTATATTTACCTCAAAAGTTTAATATCTTAAAAGCCTTCTTTTGACTGGCTAATTTGGATATGAAATTTCTTATTTCTAGATTCATTTTAAATTTAGATATTAAATTTAAAAATTTTCAGATCGAATTTCTAATATTGAATTTCGAATTTCAAACTTTAGATATTAAATCTCTAATTTCAAACTAGGATCGAGTAGAACTTCAATTTATAGTAAGTAACGTCATCATATTATTGTGAGTAAACACGTCTAAATGATAAAGTACGCTAAAATCCAGCTGATCACTAACATTTACATGTATGTACAAAACAAAACAAAACAAAATTCACATTTTCATTTTCCTCTTTTGTAGCAATTCCAATATAACTACATGCATCGAAGACTGTCATTGTAACAAAGATACCTATTTCCCTGTGTGTGGTTCGGACAACCGGAACTATTTTTCGTATTGTCACGCTGGGTGTATGGAACACAATTTAGAGGTATAATTTTAATACGTCTAGAAAGGTAAACCGCCCATGGCCTAGACGGCATGCGGTGGGGGTTGTATTATATTTTTGATGATTCAATCCTTAAGCTAAATCAGCTTACTTTTCTTATAATCCGAAGTATTTGAATGGAAAGGGTCAGGGGAGGTCTGTAGTTTGGGGTTAACAACCGTTATTCGTTATGCTTGTTCATATCAAGAGTTCTGTTGACTAAACATTCAGTGGAGATGCAAGATTTTGCCAAATATGGGAGTATTGCGACATGACAATGAGTTTTCAAAATTTTATTTCTTTTTTTAAAGATCGGGGTGTAAATATGTAATTTTACAAAACAGCTTAATCGAAAATTGAAAAATAAAGTATTTGTTTAAATGAGAATAAAGGAAATATATTAAACTAGACAAACATTTGTAAGGTAAAATTGTAATATCAGTGCTATAATTGTATGCAAAATCTGATAAAAAATACATGGTACCACAAACTTACTGTCACCTGAATGCTTATTTTACAGCAATGGATGACTATGGGCCCTAACAAATCTACCTCGTTTTACAACCTGTCTTCATCTTATAGTTTGTGAATGTCCCTTTAGTATCTTCTGTGAAACGTTTGACGAAAAAGAAATTACATTTTTTCTATTTTTAATTGGTTGACTTTAGAAGTTTTGAAAGGAGCTCAGTTCAGCGTTTTTTGGAAGGTCTTATACAAGGGTGTCATATCAATATATAAACATGCAACACTGGTTTTGATTTGTAATAAATGTTTTACAATAAAAAAAAAACCCAACTTCTATAGTTAAATCCATATTATCATAATAAAATTGAGAATGGAAATGGGGAATGTGTCAAAGAGACAACAACCCGACCATAGAACAGACAACAAGCATCATCATTATTGTTTTTTAACTTATGTTTATTTGTTATCATAATATGTAACATGCCCTTTACGAGCCGATAATTGGTCTAATAAAGTATTCTTATTGTTATCAAAGATAGTTTAACTCTCTGTTTAAATTAATTTTGCTGCTTGCAAATGACTGTGTGTGATTCCCTGTTAAACAAAAGTTGCATTACACAGCAACAACAGTGAAGCAGATTGTAAATTTGAATACGAAAATAGGTTTCTTACAGGAACGTTGCCTTGAACTAGTTATAGTAAGACAAAAAGATAACAAAAAATACAGAATTCCAAGGTAAATGGTTTAATTCAAACAGTAGAAGTCTATAAAAACTTACAAAATCAAACGTTATCAACCGACGGAACGAGTGGAAAATAACTGTCACATTCCTGACTTGGTACAGGCATTTTCTGAAGAATCTGGTGGACTAAACCTGGTTTTATAGCTAGCTAAACATAAACACATTACACCTTTAAAACATGCATCACAGCACTTGATAATTTTTATGTCTAAATGTCTTCTCCAGGGATACGCTGACTGTAAATGCATTGGAGAAGGCGCTACTGCTACACCAGGGCTTTGCAAACCAGATTGTGATATGCTGTATGTTTATATATCACTGGTATTTGTGTTTGCTTTGTTGCAGACAATAGCTCTCATGCCTGAATATATATTCGTGATGAGGTAGATTATTTACTTTTATTTTTATCTTGATATTAGGAAAGTTAAACAAAAATTCAGAACTCGAAGGTAAATTCAAAAAGGGGAAGTTCATAAAAACTGACAAAATCAAACGTTATCAACCAACGGAACGATCGAAAAACAACTGTCATATTCCTGACTTGGTACAGACATTTTCCGAAGAAAATAGTGGTTAAATCTAGTTTTATAGCTAGCTAAACCTCCCACTTGTATGATAGTTAAGACAAATTTCATTGTTTTTTGTAGAAATTCTTTACTTTGACATTTTTAAATGGACTAAATTTTTAAAAATTCAATAAATATAAATACACATAGAAAATCTAAAAAAAAAAGATACCGAAGCGTACAAATGCAACAGATGATCAATTCAAAAACCTTTTTGATAATAGTTAAACTGTTTTTTCGATAAATACTGTTAACCAACAATCGGGAGCGATTGATGTACGCGACTTTAGAAAGTAAAAAAATAACGCGAATAGCAATCATTGTGAATTTGTCAAAACTTATCTCTTAATTGAAAGCACAAAATAAGTAAGAAAATTGCAAACATAAATTACCGCGAAGTCAACTGGAAAGAAGAGCTAAACTAAGTTTGCATCCTAGCTGCTTGATTTGTTTTCGAACATATATCTCGATTATTATAGGGTTCACGTCCCTCAAAATAAAACGATGAATCATGACAAAATTGGTATATGTGATAAACACTAGTCTTTAATGACACCATGCAATTATCTTAGATATTCTAACATGATATTCCTATCCCAATTTTCAAATAAATTTTCAGATGTGTTGAGGACAAAGATAAAGCCATGGCACTTGCATTCAGATCATTGTTAGCCACAGTATTGGGTAAACATTATTTTGTTCTGCTGTTTTGTTTGTTTATTATACTGGATTGGGTAAACATTTAAAACTTATATATTTCTGCACTTTTCCATTATACTGGGATCGCCGCTTGTATTTGCTTGAGAAAATGTAAGCAGACCTGAAAGTCAACTTTATCCTTAACATATCAGACCTTGGTCTGCATTTCAAGGACTGCTGCAAACCACACATGAGGGCAGGTCTGATGACCTGTCAGCTTGTCCTGACCTGCGGACAGGACAGCTTAACCAAACCAGACATGTGAACAGGCCTGCTGTTAACCTGTCCTGTGGACAAGTCTCCTGTTTGACAGACCAGTCATGTCAGTCATGAGGACAGGTCTGCTGTTTTAGTCGATCCTATGGATATATCTTGTTTTACCAAACTTCTTTATACATGTATGTGATTATACTCAAATCGAATTCATCAATCAAAGCGGCCCTGTTAACTATTTAACTTTGGTTCATGTCTGGAGTAGACCAGACCATCGTTGACTTTGTTTGTACAGGTTTGGTTCAGAAATAAGAGGTCCAGATCAATGACTGCTTTAAAATGTAGACCTTGTCACAAGCTTAATTCTGTGTAGGACTGGTTGTTCAGAGTTAACTTAAATATGATACCTGTCATAAACTTAACTTTTCGGGCAGTCCTAAAAGCATTACTAGGACCAAGTCTGCTTTTTAAGTTAACATGAATTCTGAGACCAACCGGAGCAATCATAAATCCTGTCCGAAGTTAATTTTCACCAGTCATAAAGGTTGGACATCAAGTTAACCAGCTGTAAAGGTTAGGACTGCACACATCTGTACATGCCTTGCCTTGGACTGTTGTTAAACATCTGATTCAGCATGTCGATCAAGTGCAAAGCAGAGTATATACATATAAATTATACTTAATATGTTATCGTCCTGAATATGTTTGGTATATTTTCTAACGGACTTAGTCGTCCAAGGATTTATGTTCATACTGACAATAATTATCATGTATGCATGTTTTTTTGTTGTTGTTTTTATTCCAAACTTATGTAAAATAGACGCACTATGTGGTGAAGGTTCTAAGTTCCGGGAAGGTAGCGTGAAGCCTTCTTTCTTGAAAACTGTAGTATCTTCAAAGTAACTTTATAATTAATCTGATTCTTCATAAAAAAGTACGTAGATCTGTGGGGATTTTTTTATTGCATACTGAAGTTTGGTAATTTTTTAATATTCATTGTATTCAATTACAATTTGAAGAATAAGAATCAAGTGAAAAATGTTGTTTTCCCATTTTATTCCGTGATATTATTTATTTCCAGGAAACCACTTCATACATTTTAATGTAAAGACACATTACTTTTAAAACCATTTTGGTAGATATTATATATACTTATTTTAAAAGAAGATGAACGATTGTTTTCATACATTTATTTAACTTTGCTTTCGTACATGCGTTGTGGTATGGATTATTATCTATATGAAGCAAGAACCTTGTAATCTGATTGGTAAATTACCTATGTTGTAAAAATCACCCCACTTTAGCTAAACTATTTACTCCCTGCGACAAAAAGGTAACATTTAACATCGCGCAACAATTTGAAATGATGATTTACAACATGAAAAATAATATGTGTAATACATTCAATTCTATATTTAAGAAAACATAAACAAAATAGTAATTTCAATTTTTCAATACGCTGATTTTGCATGCGTAGTCGATTAAAGGGGCGTAAATTTATTTATTTTCGTCTGCTAAGATGAAGACGAAAAGGTGTGCCCGGTATAAGAATGAGTAAAAAAACGCTTTAGAAGTAATACATTCGTAATGTCGGTGTAAAAATTGGGGAAGTGCGAAATTTTACAACGGTTTTAAAATCCGTACATCCCTGGTTACACCAAGACATCTAATTAAAAGTATCACTGTGATACAAATCAAGTTGCATTTCATTTCTATGTCTTTCGAAGGTTGGTTTCCGGGCCCCGTAATAACAGGAAAAGTAGTGGATACATGTTGCCGATTATGGAATACTAGTTGTGGTGGAACCGGCGCCTGTGCTTTGTACGATTTAGTAGATTTCAGATACCGACGTCATGCATTAGATTTGGGTATCAAGTTGGTTGCGACTGTGTTCTCGTTCCTCGCTTTCATGTGTGCCAGAAATAGAGAGGACCTTAAACGGAAGCCAGTTAGTAAGTTTGAGAAAACAATAATACCAGAAGGAGAGGAGTTAATGGAGAAATCAACAGCTGATGAACATAGCTATGGGAACAGAAAACTATTAAATGGTCAACCGACTTAAATATTTATAAAGCAATATAACATGCAATTTATACATATCTAATATACAGCAATGCAAGAATCCCAGTAAAAAGTAAATGGAGCGTGCAATATCCCTAGGTATTGCAATAATGCAATATTAATTTGGTTGGGTATCGTTAGTTAAACATGGTGTTCTAGTCAATTTAGATGTTGTACAGTAATAGCGCTATTGTTCCTGAAATACAATATTCTACTTTTTAGACTTTTTTTATTTATTACACAAGTTATATTTTCGGTAAAATGTAAGCAGACTTTAGTGTGCAATAACCACTTGTAACGCACGTAAAAAGTGTGCAATAACCACTTGTATCAAACGTTAAATAAGTGCAATAACCACTGAAAAGCATGTAAAACAATTCAAATACTCTCAGCAACATTTTGTCCTGCACTAAAATAGTAAATGGACAACAATTGCATAATACGGTCCGTCGTATAATTTAATTTTACAATAACCAAATATTATATGTTATTCAGGTCTCATACGGTATTTAATGTGACATTCCCGTCTTAGGGTTTATACTCTCTGATCCAAAGTTGAGCTGAATATAAACACCTAAGCCGGGGAATCTCGCATTAACTTCCCTGTTTGGAACCTGAATTACACAATAATTATTGATTATCCCTGCTTTAGTGTATTTTCCAGTACTAGGTATGTATTGAACATCCATCATGCACTATAGATATTTAATACACGACATTCATATTTCTGCATATTTTGTGTACTTCTCTTCAGTGCAATTTTGTCATGTAGAACATATTTTTTTACGTTATAAATATTTTTGCAATGAAGTATTTACCTGTTATATGAATTGTTTGTATGTAATGATTTTTTTATGTGTTTTGACCACGGGAAATATTGACAAACCCACTTTCATATTTGTCCGCGTACATGATACATTTTACATGCAGTGAAAATAATTTTCTCATTTATGTAATACTTTTAACAATATTGTCACTGATTGATTTAGAATTCGACTGAGATGTTATTTTGTCATTTTGTTAGTTGCTTTTACGCTTCGTAGCAAACTGACGCTTTTATTCCCCGAGGGTATCACCAGCCCAGTAGTCAGCACTTCTGTGTTGACATGAATTATCATTGATATGATCATAATTATATATTAACTGTGTACAAAACTTTAAATTTTTAAAATATTAAGGCTTTTCTACCTCAGATTTAGATTACCTTAGCTGTATTTGGCAAAACTTTTAGGAATTTTTGGTCCTCAATGCTCTTCAACTTTGTACTTTATTTGGCCTTTTTAACTTTTTTTATTCGAGCGTCACTGATAAGTCTTTTGTAGACGAAACGCGCGTGTGGCGAAAATATAGAATTTCAATCCTGGTATCTATGATGAGTTTATTTATCTTAAGTTTTAGAAAAGACGTTTTGAAATTTGACAATATTTATATCTTGACAAACACGAATCATTTGTCGACAGACGGGGGTAAATTATGTAACTTTTTTCGAATATAAGTGCGTATGTAATGTACTCCAACGTTATCTTAAGTAAGTATCATGTACTCTATATTCATATCGAAGAAATTGAAATTTTTTATATTTCTTAGTTGCATAATAATAATGTCACATTTTTTACTTATGTCTTGTAACAATGTATATATATGTTACATGCATTTTCTAAATTTAGGCATTTTGTGAAATGACTGAATTTCAGGCAATTTATGAAGTACCTAAACTTATATGAAATGACATCCACTGAATTATTTACAATTTCCATAAGCATTGAACTAGACAATCATTTGTTATTTCGTAAATTGTTTGGATGCCATGTTCTGCTTCTCATTTGTCCTACTTTTTTTGGAAAATACATTTTACATTGTTTGGTCTTCGCACTTCAACCACATTTGGTGAAACCCGGACCATGACAAATTCAGCTCTGTCAATACGTTGTACGTTGTCTGATACAACACTTACTATTAAACAAAATATGTAATTTTGTAAACAGCACACACATGAACTTTTTTGTTGTGTGTTCCTATAAGATTCAAAGTATCAATAAAAGAGATTTTCGTGAATCTAAAAATAAAAAAAAAATAATGCAAAAATGCACATTTAAAGAACGAATCAATTGATACTTTAATGTGTTTCAACCACATTGGGAATGCTTGAATGCCATGGACCATGTTAAACTCAATTAACAATTTTAAACAAATCGTCAGGTTAACCGTAAGAAATGAATAAAAGAATGATAATACATAGGTGAAAGGAAATAGATCAAGTTCTATCTTTAACTCAGATATTCGACGCTTTAAGATTGATTTTTTATGTCTTTTTTATCATTTTTAAATGGCCTAAATCTGACTTCAAAAGTCTGACAATTCTGAGTATTGAGGACACGCACTTGTCTCTAACAAATATATAATGTCATGTAAACCGTTAATTAATAGAGTAAAATTGTTATTGCCCAAAGGTTACATAATGTCAAGGAATGAAACCAAAATAACAGGCAAATTCCCGTATGTCACATAATAAGAAAATCCCCTTGTTTGTCAATAATCAAAATTTATTTCATATTTAACAGGCTTGTCTGTCCCAAATCAGGAGCCTGTAATTTAGTGGTTGCCGTTTGTTGCTGTGTAAGATATTTGTTTTTCGTTCATTATTTTGTACATAAATTAGGCCGTTAGTTTTCTCGTTTGATTTGTTTTACATTTGTCATTTCGGGGCCTTTTATAGTTAACTGTGCGTTATGGGCTTTGCTCATTGTTGAAGGCCGTATGGTGACCTATAGTTGTTAATTTCTGTGTCATTTGGTCTCTTGTGGTGAGTTGTTTCATTGGCAATCATACCACATCTTCTTGTTTATATTGTCTCTTTTCCCTATAACACAAGTCTAAAAGTGTATAAGTTATATTTCCATTTCATTGAAAAAGTCAAAGTAAACTGACACGAGAAAACTACATAACATGTGTCACATATATACACCAACATTCTATGTTTTTATCAAGAAAATGGACCGTATATTTTTCAATCGTCACTAATGTTAAATAAATTGGCTATGCTAAGAAAAAATAAAGTAACACATTTTGAAATGTAAACATATTTAAACAATGTGTGTCAAGCTCCGATGAAAACATTGAATCATCTCTGTTCGATCTTCAGATGGACTCCATTTAGTGGTCTGGTGATGAAACCTTTTTGAAGAGGCATTGGTATCTGTAAATAAAAATAAAAATAAAGAGAGCACTGCAATTGTTTTCCTTTATTTATCAGTTTTTATTAATTTTACTGATTATTCAAAAAATTGTTATTGCCATTAGGTAGAATATAAGTATTCTAAACCCTATGGTTGTGTGAAGTTTAAAGATTCTTCCATCTCAGGCTACTCCGATTATCTATGAAACATTTGAACATTTTTGAAAGTTTACAAAATTAAAATTTTAAATGCTAAAATTTGATAAATATCATATAACTGGTATACAACTATAAACATATATTTACTTTCATCAATTTCTTTATAAATAAGAACTTGATGAGTATAAAATCATTAATGAGTGTGTAAAAGGAGATATTTAAAACTTTTGCAACAATATAAAGTACAAAACAGCTTTTGATCACTCCCGGTTTTTGGTGGGGCTCGTGTTGCTCAGTCTTTACTTTTCTATGTTATGTGTGGTATACTGTTGTTTGTCTTTTGGTAGTTTTTTCCATTGAATTGTTAGTTCTTTTTCGACTTAGGAATTTGATAGCCCTTTCATATCTTTCGCATCACTTTTAGGGGAAAGAATATAGAAATTTGGACTTAATGAAATATGGACTGAGATTTTAGGTCATCAGATGACTCGAAACCGTTTTTTCCCCTAAAAGATCAATTTGCTAAAATGTTTATTTTATTGTCCATGTGACTGTTAAATTTGAATATTAATCAGATGTCGTTGTATATTTTTCTTACTTAGTTATCTCAATGTTCTTCTATAATATTTACCTGAAAAAACCTCGTGGTTGTATATGATAATGTAAGTTTTAAGATTAAAATTAAATATAGAAAATATGAATCGGTTGGTGTCAATTGGCTCAGTAGTTTCAAAGTAGCAGATTTTTGTAAATGTTAACGGACACCAATGGACGACGACGACGAACGCCGGACGACAAGTTATGAGAAAAACTCACTTGGCCCTTTTGGCCAGATGAGCTAAAATAGAACAAGAAAAAACGGTTTTAGAACAGGCAAGGAATGACAACGATAACTGCATGTAAGTGTGCAAATCACAGACAAAGTCTTCATCTCACTTTAGGCGACCTTTTGATTTGGCATTCAAACTGTTTTGATTCGAACGCTCCTGCTGATTCTTGTTTAGACGCAAAGCTCGTCTGGCGTATCACTTTTGTAAACCTTATATCGTTTACCGACCTTGACATTTAACATTTTAACCTCATTACCAGATGTGACACCTGTACAATAGGTCGACCACTTGATTTTCTCGGGGTAGGCAGGTGGATTTTAAAAATGAATAAAAAATGCCTTGTTGGAACTTTGCACAAGACAGGATGAAAATGAATATTCTGCAACACAAAATGCAGGAAACAAATGTGTACAAAAGTGAAAATAAAAATAAGTATGTGTAGCAATAGATAAAAATAAATAATTTTTTTTTTTTTACTTTTAATTCCATAATTATTTGAAATGGACTTTGATTAATGTGTATTAGCCTCGTACCGATCTATGAGTTAAGCCAATTGCAACTGGTTTTTACAGTTTGTTCTTATTTTGTGCTGTAACACCACTATTCCAAGTAGGACTCACAAACGTATTTTACCCCGCCACATTCTTTAAGTGCCTCTCCCAAGTCAGGAGCGTGCAGTGCAATGGTTGTCGTTGGTTCATGTCTGTCATATTTGTTTTTTGTTATAAATTAGGCCGTTATTTTTCTCAATTAAATTGTATCACATTTTCATGTCAGAACATTTATAGCCGACTATACGTTGTGGGTTTTTCTAGTTTTCTCATTAGCAATCATCCCACATCTCCTTATGTGTATACTAATGTTTCCACCTACCTCTGTTTTGGAACAGACTACAAACTTAAACTTCTGCACCGTTGAAATGAGAGCATACTTGGTTTCAATCAAAGCAAGTCTCATACCGATACAAACACGTGGTCCAAGGCCAAAAGGAAGGAAACTGTACATAGGTCTTGTAGCCTTATTCTCATCTGTAAACCTAGGCAAATATGAATGCATATATATTGAAACGAGATAAATATCAAAAGATAGGTGTATCAGAATAAAAGAGTTGTTGCAAGAGTTCTTACGTGCAGAAAGCGTGACACTCTCCCTACACGAGGCATCGGATTTGACGTCCCTATTCTGTACACACGTGGCTACGTACTTCTACATCCAGCACAGCCAACTGAAACTTTGGCGAGGGTTTTTACACTCTCACCACACTGCAAGTTTAAGACGGCCCCTGGCACCGGCTTGAGCGGAATGCATGCACTATTTTTAAGATGAAATAAACCAATATAAAAATTCTTGTATTTTTTACCACAAATTGAATGAATTTTTAGATATTTTGATCACTCAACTAAACGGTTAACCACAAATAAAAAAAGACACGATCTTAATTTACGAACAAAACATTAAGTCCCATAAAAGCAGAATCTAGGTAGCATGCAAATTAAGCAATTATTGGTAATTTATAGACTAGCTAGGAATCCGCCTCTGCAGAAACTGAACCTATTCAATCGAAACTTGTTGCCAAAATATCGAATGAAATGACACTGTTGTCATTAAGTGCAACAATTATGACGCAGTGTATCTACAGTGATATC